TTGAAGATTCAAAAGGCCATCTTCATTGGTGCCTTGCGTTTAAAAATCCCATCGCAACATTAATCTTTAAATGCTACACCATACATCCTGGGTCGTAAAAATGGTGAAAATATGTCTGTATCGTTATTGAAGGCGCGAGTGGAAAAAAGAGACTGGTGGCAATATTTGGTGAAAAGGAGGATCGTAATAAGTGAAGAGATTACGAATCAAAAATCGCACCGTACGCTGGAATGCCACGGCTCTCCATACCATACACCACCCTTCTTGTGAGTTTCGGGTTGGAAATAATGAATACTGCCTCTGCCTGGGCCTCCACGAATAACTTATAAGTGATAGCCACCATATCTGGTCGACCTTCCGTTTTAGTATCTAATATCTCATCAGTCTGAATCAACACTGTCGCACCGGCGGATGTAAAGACGCACCCCAAATCCAGGCATCAGGATCGGCCTTCTTTACCGCCTCTACAATTTTCTCGCCATACGTGGCTAGTGGACTGGAAGTGGACCAGAAAATGCGTCGTGGCGTGACGTCTGCGTAGAAGAGGGAGAGACAAGGCCCGACCCCACTGCCTGTGCAGCAGACAACAATCTTCTTGAACAGGTTCGAGGTATACAGCAACCCGTGCATCGGATTGCCGCGAATCCACAATTTCTTCGGTGGGTTCGCAATGCACTCCCGCGTCCAGTCGCCGGCGTTGGAAACAACGAAGGAAAACCCCTTTGGTCCGCTGCCATCGTCGTCGGGAATCGTCGCGAACGCGTGCCATTCCAGCAACGGCGTGGTGGAAACTTTGAGCCCATAAAACGGGGCCATGTCGCGGTATTTGAAGTGGAGGCGGATTGCGTGGCTGGACAGGACCTCGGGATAGACGTCATGCTGCCGCAGGCGTGCCCACGAGAGGATCGAACAGCTGGTGGAAATGCAAAGCGTCCAGAAATTGGGCGTGCTGATGAGGTAGCGCCCCAAGGCCGGTGGACCAGATTCGAACACCCGGTATTGGTTCGCCGCGAAGATGGAGTGCATCCAGAACGTCGCAAGTGCAACCCAACCGGAGTACCTGTGTACCGCCTCGAAGTGGTCGTGGTATCGGCGTCGCAAGACGGGATGTGCGGCGGCGAGGATGAAAATGAACATGGTCACGAGGATGTAGGATGTGGCGAGATTAGCGAGGGCCCATTTATTTGGATTGGCGATGTAGTCTCGAGTGGTAACCGCGGTGTACATGATGTACCAGACGACGGCCGCGACACCCGCTCCGCTGTGCGCGCCTCCGTAATGGAAGACTTTGGCCAGGCGGCGGCGAAGCCACAGAGGAGCGCTGTGAGGGCATGCAACGGCGATCTCATATACGAGGTTTACAAAGTTCTCCTGTCGGAACAAGAGCGTGACCATAAGATTGGCCGAAGCAGCGCTCCCAACACTGGGAGCTAGGGGGCGGCCGTCCTTTTCAACGACGAATACAATGAATGCAATCAAGTTGGCGACAAAAATCAAGGTGAACGTCTTGCGGTAGTAGGAAAAAGCAATGTCTGACGAGGAGATTAATAAGTGGATGCGAAGCAGACTGCAGTTCCGCACAGTGCAACCATCGAGTGAACCTCGATTGTCCTAGCTTTGGTGGAAGCTCCAATTCGGTGGGGTTGAACTTGATAGTTTCGATGACTTTGCTCTTCTCAACGTCCCGGGATTGTGAGGAGGAAAGGAAGGAAGATGTGGATGCTGTGACGGAGTCCGAGGAGGGCGATAAAGCTCCGGCGACCTGTGCACGTTCAGATGCGACGATTGAATACAGATTTAAACACTCGCCTCAATCATCTTGCGCTTCTGGAGGGGGAAAAAGTCGAAGGGAAAACGGCTGAAGAAAAAAATGTTTCATGCTGGCTATTTAACTCATGCTCTGCTGTATTGATGGGAGAAACGCGGTCCAGAGACCATACTTGTTAGAAGCAGAGATTTGTTCGATCTTGCTGAGAATCTGCTCCACAAGGGGTTAAGGGCAGACTGGAGCGAATCGGAGGCCATTCGTCAGAAATCGGGCTGATTTGGTTTTGAAATGTTACCGAACGCTGGGCAGCGCCAAGGTAAGCGGGCATTCACGGCTCAATCAAACTTGGGCCACTGGCAATTTAATGTAGTTCACTGGTCGGGACTGTGAGGAATCCCAACGGAGAAGAGTGGAAATATTAAGCTTAGGTTGAGCCTAGGTTCCGCTTCGACGCCAGTCCACAGTGTGGCCGCATAACTGACAGCATGGGCAGCCCCAGCTTATTTTGTGAATGCAGGTGCAGCAGCGGAGGGCGGCGAAATCATACCGAGTTACTTGGCAACATGATGGACTTGCTGTCCAACATACTGACAGGCATCGCAAGTCGCAACAACGGAAAGTAACGATCACAGTCCCGCGAGCAAATTATAATAGTTCAAATTCACTCCTTGCAAAGAAAACCCACTTTTTTGTAATGTCATGCAAGCACATAGCCCAATGCCAATATAAATTCGCGACAAAGCCAGGGTGAGAGGATACGATATTGATCAAATCACCCACGTTCGTCGGGTCCGATTTCAGGCAGTTTGAGGTGCAAGCCGCTACGCAATCCCCTTGCTCTAGGTCGGATTCTACACGCAATCCGTCGCGACGCAGCAGGTAGAACCGAGACAGAACAACTTTGATCCGACGCACCGATATCGGCCGTTGTCGATAGGATAGTACTGTATCTATATGTAGGGGAGCAACGGTCACGGTAACGGAGAGCCCGTTGCGTTGCCTCGGTCACGGTAACGGTGGGGCTGGTTGCTTGAAAAAATCGTGACATTGAAAAAAATCGCAAAAAATCGTAAAAAAATCTCCTCGCCCCTACTCGTCCCTGGAATCGTCCCCACCACCTTCATAATCGTCGCCACTGCCCTCCTTCTCGCCTTCAGAGAGTGAGCAAACCCTACGCTTGAGGGGACTCGGACAACAGACCGTATGTGTTCTGTCACTTGTAAGAGAAAATATGATCTCCAACTGGGCCGCAGAGGTATATACAGATAGCCCGTTGCTTAGGGAGGCAACGGTCACGATCACGGTACGCCCCGTTGCCTGAAAAAAAGGCAACGGGCAAGTCACGGTCCCCCGAGCGTTGCTCCCCTACATATAGGCACAGTATAGTTGCCGAATATTTGGAGGAGACACCGCACGGATTTGGGATTCTATCTGATTCTGCAGAGTCTTACCGGCTTCTTGTGCTAGCCTGGATCGTCAGGACATCGCTTACCCTGCCTTGGCTGGATTGGACGCACGTAATGCCTGTTCGTGAGAGAGACTCTGAAAAGTCAGGTGGTGCGCGGTTTTTAAGCGGCGTTAGAACCGTGTTGCATCGTTGAACCGGCGTACTTCACAATAGAGATCAAAGGTTAAGCGGTGCATACGCACACGGCGCGCCTTTGCCAAGGGCGCAGAAATCACCAAGAACACAACATATACCACCCGACATCTCCAAGCCCGGTGAGATCCTCAATTGAACGATTTTACAGGTATTTCTGAACGGCGAAAACCTTGAGACAAATGCCCCTCAAAAATTGTGTTTTGCTCAACTGATAAGGATTACTCATTTCTCTCCATTTTGGCCTTTGAACACTTACTTCATGGTCGTTCGGGTGGATTTCTGGATTTGAGAAAAAGTACTTACTTGCATTTTGCACGGAGAATGTCGGAAAAAACGTAAATTGGTACCTTATTTAGACAGCTTCTAACGGCCTTCCAAGGGCAAGGCGGTTTTGATCCGAGAGTCGCCTTTAAAGGCATTGAAAGAAGCTTTAAAGGGGGACTCTCGGATCACAAGGCTATTGAAGCGGTGTCTAGACAATCATTAAGATTGTTCCGACAAACGAGTCCGGGGTAATGAATTGAGAAGCCGTCTCAAACAAGCGAGACAATCGTGGGCATCCGATTTATTCCGTCGTACGAATCAGAACCTCCGTTTGAGCCAAGACTCAGCCAAGACGATTTGCGAATGTTGCGCGGGTCAGGAACAGATCTGCACCACTCAACTATCAGTAGCTTGAGACAGATCCGGAACTTCCGCAAAGGGTATCGACGGAGGAGACCAGGTGCCGACGAGAGCCTCTTTGAAGTAGGCAATACGCACCAGCCTCTTTTAAAGATACAATACGCACAAGACTCGGACAAGCTTTCCAGGCACCTGGAGTATGCAAGATCACACAGAAATTCTATAACGGAAATCTTCTGTTTATCGGCAGATGGGGCTCGACGGCTAGGATTGCAAGGCGACATTGACATACTAGAGACGAAGCGCCCAAGAATATCAGAGGAACCAATTTATTCTGAGTTCCAACGCAGAGCGATCATCCTGAATAGGTGGAGTCGATCTCAACAGTGTGCCTAATAACTATACCATACCATAATTTGTTGGCTCCCACAGGACAATCAATATGTTCGGAAATTTAATTTCTCTACACTTTTGGGTACCGGTAGCGGGCCCTGCCGCTTGTTGGCCTTACCAGCTTTATTGAAGGAATAGGCTGGAAATGCTGCAGCCAGTGACCATTATAACTATATAATACCACTAGTGAGAAAACAGATGCCCGGCCAACTGCCCTCCATCTGCTATGCTATTGATGTCGCCCAGAATCCACAGGCGCCATTGACATTGAAATACTTACCGTCTATGTATGCACATTCGAGGGTGATGTCCGGTGAGAAGATTTCGGGAAGCGTCTAGACTCAACTCGCAGACGGCGGAGCGAGGATCGATCGCCCCGGACTTGGTTGTGCGCTTCAAGAGGAATGAGCTCGTGAGTTGCATCCAAGACTCCCACTGCGCATACTACGTAACATCGAATCGTCTGACCCAAACGTTTAATGAACCGTATTCCGACGCAGGCTGGACCGTTGATTGAGGGGGGGGGGGGGAAAGAGAGGCTATCGGGGATCGTGATCGGGTTTTGGATGCAGGATTTCGGGGTTGCCGAAAAAATAGATTCAGGAGTAAAAATGACCACCGCAGGGGTCGAACCTGCAATCTCCTGATTTGAAATCAACAAAGCTCATCGTAGTCAGACGCGATGCCATTTCGCCAGGCGGCCGTTATGAATAGCATAATATTTGCCATGGTGGGGAGCCCGCGGGGTTAGGCTCTGGCCAAAGGTATTTCCCAGTTTCTTCATGGCCATCGGCAGTGTAAGAGCCAAGACACCGAACGAGACTCAGCGTAATCGTTTCAGGCTTTGAAGCTGGTAGCGGGACTCGGAGCTCGACGTTGAAATTGCAGCACGGGCAAGGTTTTCGTAGTTTCTTCATGGTCATCGCTTGGCTGGAGTAGCGTCCGAAATGACAGGCTCGACGAGATTCAGTCCGAGGCTTTACTATTATTTAGTGCGCCCGCAGACGTACATCTTCAAATTGGGTTCAAGGTGCCTGGGCATGAGAGGGAGGACCCGGATAGCAGCAGGCAGCAGGAAGAGATAAGCGCCCCGTGGATTCGAGTGAGAAAGAAGGACCGGGAGATATAGCAGGTAGCAGCTGCGCGCAATGAATATCGAATACTGCTGATGTGCGAAAGGTACGTTCCCGCAGTGAGGAACGTAAGAACAAGGTCCTAGAGGGAGGCAAGAGACAACGGTGAGGTTGAGGGAGAGATCAAAAAGGAATTTCGGACATCAGTCACAACGTTTCGGCTTTGTTTCCTCCCACTCCCGACTCTGGTGCCATACGTATGTTCTCTCTGATGGAAAAGGGCCACTATTAGCCTGCCCCGGACTTGTACCTGTCCCAGCGGACGACGGCGCCCTGGTGACGCCAATGGGTTAAAACTATGGGCTCAGCCGCGAGGAAAGGTGAGGAGTCGAATTGCACGTACGCGCCGCGCTGAATTCAGGCGCCTACAATCCATTTAAGCTCTGAATGAAGCTGCGTGTGCTCGGACGAGCTCAGTGTCGGATGTATCGTGCACCGTACGCGCATCGTGCCCAACAAGTGGTCTTCGCATCTACACCAACATTCAAGCCGCCGTCTAGTTTCTGCACCCGCTTGGCCCTCCATAATGCACGCTATGAGCTCGCACCCGTTGGTTGCGCGTAAACACCTGCCTGCCGCGCTCATCTCCTGCTTTCTTGTGGCCATCTCCCGTGTCTCGTCTTTTACTGCTCTTCCTCATGTCGTCATTCTCGGTCCTCGGGTTTCTGCGCCTGCAATGTCCAATCAAGCCGCCGTCCGGGCCCTCGTCGCCGTCACTCCTCCACCGAGTCCTCTCCTCCGACTCCTTTCCCCCCCGCATTCGACGGACGAAGACGCGGCCTCATGGCGGGAAGGCGCCTGTCGCCGTCTCCACTCCGCCCCCGGCCTCGCTTCCGAAGACGACAGAGAACGCGCGCGCGACCACGACCGTACGCGCCGCAGGTAACCCCAAATCAATAGCGACGCGCACTTCGCCCTCCCGCCGCTCGAGCGCGGGTTCCTGGGGCCGAGCGACGGCACAGCGCCTCGGCTGAGAGCGGGACCGCGGGCGTGGCGGGGGCGCGGCGTGTGGGGTGCGAGCGTGGGCGCGCGCGACCCTGCGATACACGGTGCCGCTGTCCGTGGCGATGCACGGCAGGCCCGGGACGGAGTGCCATGGGCATGAGGGCGGGGACGAATGAGGTGTAAATGGGGCGAACGGGCGAACGGGCACGGGATCGTGAATGGTGCGGCGTCGCACCGTCGACAGTGGATGGCCTCGACCCGAGCGGCACTACTTCCACTTGCACGCGTCGAGGAGCTGTCGCGGCAGACGGAGCGCAGCGTCGACGCTGACGCTAACGGTGGACGACCTCGCCTCGAGCGGCGCTACTTGCAGCTGGCCTAGTCGAGGAGGAGGAGCGTGCACGAGCAGCAGCGTAACTTCGACCCCGACCGCAAACGTCCGTGAGCCCGCAAAACAACGGGCACTTGGTCCTCCTGCCCGCCGCTCGAGCTCGGGCTCGGCTTCCAGGGTCCGTTCTCCGGAAGCAACGGCGTGGGGTACATGCGCTGCGCGGGCGTGGCGGGGTCGCGGCGTGTGGGGGGTTTGAGCGTGGGCGCGGGCGACCTTCCGATATACGCTGCCGCTGCCCGTGGCGATGCACGGCAGGCCCGAGACGAATGAGCATGAGGGCGGGGACGAATGAGGTGTAAACGGGGCGAACGGGGCGGGCCGACCTCGAGCCTTCCACCTGTACGAGGCGAAGAGGAGCTGCTGCAGCACACGAAGCGGGCGTCGACGGTAACGGTGCACGATGTCGAACGGCACTACTTACACTGCGCGAGTCGAGGAAGAGCTTTCCGGCTCCCGAGGACGACAGAGAGGCACATGAGCAACACCGACCGCGAGCGGCAGCAGCGCAACCGCGCCCGTGGGCCCGCAAAACAACAACGGCCATCTCCTCCTCTGAGGCCATTCCCCGGAAACAACAGGCCACGGCGTGGGGTACATGCGCAGCGCGCGCGGGGAGCGGGAGCCGTGGGGGTGCAGGGTGGTATGCGGGAGATGCGAGCGTGGGCGGTAGGTGGGGGGCACACGCCGCCGCTGCTCGTGCGGATGCGTGGCGGGATATTATGGCCATGAGGGCGTGAGTGGGCGCAGACTGTGCGAATGGGAATGGGTAGACAGCCTCGAGCGGCACCAGTTGCACCTGCACGAATCGAGCAGGAGCTGCTGCGGGCCACGAAGCGGGCGAGCGCGGCGTCGACGGTAACAGTGCACGATGTCGAACGGCACTACTTGCGGCTGCCCAAACCAAGGGGAAGCTTTTCTCCCTCCCGAGGACGACAACCGCGACCGCGACCACAAGTGTCCGTGGGCCCGCAAAAACAACAACGGGCACCTCGTCCTCCCGCCCGCCGCTCGAGCGCGGGTTCCTAGGTCCGTTTCCCGGATGCAACGGCGGAAGACACATGCGCGGCGCGCGCGGGGAGCGGAAGCCCGGGAGCCTGTGGGGTGCGAATGAGGCGAACAGGTATAAGATCGTGAATGGTGCAGCGTCGACGGCCGCGGTGGACGCTCCGGAGCGGCACTACTTCTCGCTGCACGAGCCGAGGCGGAAGACGGAGGACCTGATGCGGGAGACGGAGCGGGTGAGTTGGATGAGATGCGTGCGGTGGGCGGGGAGGGTGGGGGTGTCGATAGGCGGATGATGCAGAATGGTCACGGTGGGAATGAGGGTGGAGGGCTGGAGTGCCGCTGCGCGAGCGCGAGCGTGCGGCCCGTCAATAGCGCTGCTGGGATGCGCGAGTGAAGAAGAGGGGTCTTCTCCAAACTATCTGATTGTGTTCTCTTCCCCCCTTGTCTTGCCCCGCCTTTGGTCTCGCTCTGCCAAGTTCTCATTCCGCTTACTCTCCTCTTGCTCCATCTCTCCCCTTCGAAAATTAATTATTTTTTGAGCTCGTAGTTTGACAACCTTTTGGGATCCAAATACGTATCCTGTTTGAAGAATATCTCATCGCGGAATTCTTTTCACGCTCCACGATCCAATCGTGGTATTTTAAAACTACTGTACATCCTGGAAACTCGATGAAACTGGTCTGCGTAATCACTGGAAGTAGTAGGGAGGGTTGCCGGAGGCATATTTCGAGCCTGCCATTCTGGGCAAGTGCGGGACCCATGGTCCCGGTGGAGGTGCTTCGACATCATGGGACGGGGAGGGGTGTCTCCATGGAACCGGGAAGGACGGTACGGCGTTCGGGGGTATGGAGGGTGGTGATGAATGTGTGGATGCCACATGTGCTGTAGTTTGTCGCGGATCCGGTCGGGGAAGAATCCATCGCTTTCCGAGTCGGATTCCTCCGCTTCCAGGTAAGCCACGTTGATTGTCTTCGTTTTCAACAGAAGCCGGCGGAGCCGCTCTGCGGGACTCTTGATACGACTGTGGGTGTTTTTGACGAACTTGCAGGCAAACACGGCCCACGCGAAGTCGCCGGCGGATTTCCGCACCAGCTTATGGCACAGCTTGTATTTCCATTGCAACTCGGGGACACCCGACAACTCGAAGTCGAAGAATTCCTCGATGTCCTGCAGGTTGGACTTTTGGTCGATGACTGTATCCATGGAACAACAATGAATGCTGTCGTAACTCCCGAAGGTATTGCAGATGTCGGAGTCCGGGCGCGCGGTGATTAGGAGGCGAAAATTTCCCGGAAGCCCTGCGCTCCTCGAGGAAAGTATGGAGACAATCGTCTCACGCGCCTCCTGGTCTCCGATGGCATCCAGGGCGTCAATGACGATCAACACCGGTCCAAAATAGATGAGTGGTCGCTGAGAAGGTTTGAGGATAAACTCCTCAAACTGTTCGCGGATAGACGCCGTTCTGCGGAGTGCGCGCGGGCCAACAACGTGCCTCAGTGCGTCCTTCCATCCCTGGTCAAGATCTGCCAGATCGCGCGCAATGGTGGTAAACAGCCTGTCGGGGCTACGCTCCGGCTGCTCCTGGAGGAAGAAGAAGGAAGACCCCAGTCGCTGAAGCTCATTGAACCGGTGCGCCACGGTATGCGCGATGGCGGATTTGCCAGTTCCCGGAGCACCTGTGAGCAAGAAAATGCGCGGCGTCTCAGTTTGACTCTCGTTGACCCAAGCAAATATCTCCTTGAGAAGGCTTTCGCGGGTGCTCGCCAGACACTGCTTCCCGATATCGAACCGAGCTGATGCGTATGGCAGATCGTCGAGTTCTCCAGCGGCCGCTACAAATTCTTTATTAACGCTCGCAGAAAACAAGTGAAATTTCAACTTACCAATTTGGTCGACCTGCGCAGCAATTCTCACAACGGTGATTTCAGTGTTCAACGCAGAGTCACGCTGAAAAGCATGTTTCAGGTCCATGAACTTTTTTTGATACTCGGCGATTTTGTCGTTTATGCCGCTGCCCGAGAAAAGTGTGCTGCCAGTGCGAAGGACTTATAATTGATCAAAACGACGAACAAAGGGTCAAATTGAGGGCTCACTGAAGCTCTTCTGCTTGGTGTAGTCGCGGATAAAATACGCACATTCGGTGGTTTGCAATGTCAAGAGTTTGATAGTCTCCAGATGGTTCTCAAGCGAAGCCTTCTTCAATTCGTTCAAGAACGCGAAGACTTCGCA